GAGAGAGACTGGGACTCGTGGCGATCCCGTAGCCGGAGGAGGAGAGCTGATTGAACTGAGTTTATGCCCTGGGCAGATTGAGAACGCGCTGGAAGCGCCCCGTTTGTGTTTTGTTGAACTTTAAAGAAAGAAATAAAAGAGCCACGAGTCTCCAAACCGCCTACCTGAGTCACTTCCTTCTTCCCCTTACGAACGTTGTTACAATATGCTTAAAATAAAGAGACTGGAAAGCATATTTGCCTGCTGGCACTGCTCTGAGAGCAGCAATGGCCCTCAGATAACTGATCAGAATGACTGATGCATCTTTATTATCTGTTCCACACTTCAATCAATCAATAGGGAATATTCTTTAAATCTCTCTGCCTCTGGGTAGCAAAAAGTACACATTTATGTAACTTTTGAAACTGCAGACACACAAAGAGGACAGGAAATAGGATAGTCCTGATTCTGCAGCAGAGACAGAGGAAGTGGAGAAAGAGGAAAAAAGAAAGAGTGAGAGAGAGGGAGAAAGACAGAAAAAGACTGTCTTTATTCTGACCTTGTGCTTGAGGTTGCTGATGAAGGAGCGGCTCTGGGATTTCTTCATGCCATCTTTGGAATTCTGGAAGACACACACACAATATATATTATAATAATTTCACATACAAAAAATACATAATGCACAAAATGAGATGTTTAACAAAATGTCTAAGCTGCTTTTTTAACAAAAGCATATTGTGACCAGGGGCTGTCAAGCTCCAAAAAGGACAAAAATCATCATAGGTGGCATAAAAGTGGTCCATATGACTCATGGACCAGGGCCATATCCGACCATTTTGGTGCCCTACAGTATTTCTTATTAGTTCATATTGGTATTTTTAAATAATACTCATTTCAAAATGTAATGAATAAAAAAAATGAATTTATTGTATTGAATGAAAGATGTATTGAATGAAAAATAAGTTTACTTTTGCAACATTCTGTGGATCAAATAAAATTAAGTGAATTAAATTCATAAATTAACAAATGAAGAAAAAAAAAGCTTTGGTTGTGGAAATCATTAGTTTACTAAATAATGCAAAATCATAACATTTGAAGAAAAATACTTCTAATATTCAGCCACGTAAATGCAATTAACAAATTATTTGCTAAAATGCAGTGTTATTATATTAACATGTTAAAGAGGTGTTGGGGTGCTCACTGGCACCCCAGTCAACCATCGAGTCTGCCTATGCCAGAGGTTCTCAACTCTAGCCCTCGAGATCCACTTCCCTGTGGAGGTTAGCTCCAACTTTGATCAAACGCACCTGCCTGTAACTTCCTAGCAATCCTCAAGACTGTTTGAAGTGTGTTTGATTAGGGTTGAAGCTAAACTCTGCAGGAAAGTGGACCTCGAGGGCCAGAGTTGAGAACCCCAGGCCTATGCTCATAAACGCCCTTGCCATTGACTATATTCCAAGTCCTTCAAAAACAATATCATTACCTAAGGAACAGGATAATATCCAGTGGCCACTGTCTATTTTCACTGCATGCAAAAGAGCAGCGTGATCATTCTACAAAACATTTGTGTTCCACTGTAAAAAGAAAATGATGGGATTGGAATGACAAAAGGGTTTTGATTGAACTGTTTCTTTAAAATGTATCTAATTCTAACTCAAACAGTCAAGTGTCAAATTCTGTTCAAATGAGTATTTGTGGGCACGTATGGTCAGAGAGACGTTTTTTACTTGCAGTAATGCAAAAAATTAACACAACATTGACTTGAAATCCTCTCCAGACAGACTCTTAATTTCAGCACTCACTCAACAGTTCTCAGTTTTGTTTTGTTTTTCATAAATATTATGCAGGAACACTGGAGGGGAGAGAAAATCCCTCAGTGCATTACAAACGGCACATCAAAATGAATGTTTAGAGAGTGCAAAGTCTAATAATAGGGCAAGAAAAGAGGCAGAACGAATGCTATTTCTTTCTTAGGGGCTGAGGTAGGTTTGTGTTTTATTGTTTTATTTAAGTACAGCTTCATGCATCATTATATCTTTCCACAGAATTTGGAGTCCACGCAGACTTGAGAATGTAGAATCACAGTTAGAGCTACTTTACCTTGCGCAGGTTTCTTTGGAGGCCCTCATGGGTGGCACGGAGCAGGGCTCGGATAGAGAAACTGTCCGTGTCCTCTTTGTCCCCGATCTGTGACTCTTTCATCAGTGAGTCTAGTTTCTTCCTGATGTGGGACTCCACCTGGTGCTGACAGGGCCCATTGGACTGAAATGCAAAAAAAGTAGGGTGTCAAAATCTGCAGCTTATAAGTAGTATATATATAAATATTTTAAAGAGATTAAAAAAGAAAATAGCATCCGTTATTTCTAAGATGACTTCCACACAGCAAACTTAAGATATTAACTTCTTAACTGCCTTAATAAAGTCAGATTTACAGTACAGAAAGTTTCTTGCATAAAATCTTGCATTAAGCCCAGGGGCGTAGCAGCCATGGGGGATGGGGGGGACATGTCCCCCACACTTTTAGAAAAAAAGGATTCTGTCCCCCGCACTTTGTTTGACCCACCGCCGATATTTCAGCCTGTGTTCTCTGTTTATTTAGATTTCAGTGAACTAACATTCAGCCAATCACAAGGCAAATCATCTCTTGGGCGCGTCTGTCATCCGCTTCAAGTCTCCTGTTGCTCTCGCGATTTCACTTTGCTCTTTTGGCAGTTTGGGGGCAAAATGCACCCCAGAAAAACGCAGAGGACGATTACGTCCTTTTTCAAACACTGTAAGTATGTGTTATGTCACGATGAGACGAATCATGCGATCAAATTTCTACGTTATTATTTGACCTAGCGGGGCTTCTACACCGGATGCGAGCGATACGACAAAAGAACCTGTTAAGAACGAGGCATGTGACCTCGTGCTGGATCCAGTGTGTGTTATATGCTCTCCTACTTGTAAGTCGCTTTGGATAAAAGCGTCTGCTAAATGAGTAAATGTAAAAATGGACAGCATAAATGATTATTCTTTTGTCGCATCGCGCTGCTCACGTCCGGAGTAGAATTATCCTTTCCAAATAAAGCAAAGTTTGCGCCGAATACTTATCTTATCATATTTTAGTACTTTAATTCATTACAGCTATGTTCTTAACTTTAACTAGTCTGTAGGAAAGGCAGGCTGTCACGTCACTGACAGAGAGAGGAGGACAGTTGCTCGACCTCTCCAGAATCTATACAGGTGAGATTTGTTGAAAGAAAAGAATTGTCTATTTTAAGGCAGTGTTTTTATTTTATTTTTTATTTTTATTGGGACTACTTGCCAATGTTTTAACCAAATAAAGCAAAGTTTGCGCCGAATACTTATCTTATCATATTTTAGTACTTTAATTCATTACAGCTATGTTCTTAACTTTAACTAGTCTGTAGGAAAGGCAGGCTGTCACGTCACTGACAGAGAGAGGAGGACAGTTGCTCGACCTCTCCAGAATCTATACAGGTGAGATTTGTTGAAAGAAAAGAATTGTCTATTTTAAGGCAGTGTTTTTTTTTATTTTTTTTTTTTTATTGGGACTACGTTTTAAGGAATTAAACATTAATATATATATTTTTTTATTTTATGCTCAAAATGTTAAATAAAATTGGTTATATAGGTTAAGGCAGTGTGTTACAATAGTTTTTAAAGACACTTTTTTGTCCAACTGTTAAGAATTAGGATAAAAGTTATTGTTTAAGTGTAGTGTAACTGAAATATTGTGCATAAAATATCGTTATTTCATTAAAATAAAGTATAGATGTCCACAGTGGCGTCAAAGTCCCAAGTCCTGCAGTTATTTTTAAATTAGGTTTAGAGTTAGGGTTTTTGAGTATGATATCACAAAAAAATTGGTCCCTGTAGCTGTCTTGCTTCCTGTAAGCTATCATGGCATGTTCCCAAAATTGCCATTAGGGTGCTCTAAACATGGCAATTGGTATTCTATATACTACGCCCCTGATTAAGCCTGATACAGAGGTTTCTTTTTTTTCTTTCTAATAATTGATGAATAGCTCACTCTTTTATGTTGCTTCATAAAAGCCTTGATAAACAGATTTATAGATCATTTTCAATGTGTTTTCAGATGACTACGACAAAAATAGGTACATACATTGACACTTTACTTCCATCTACGCAGAAAAATGCTGCTTACCCTTGTGAAAAAGAAGTATTTTTAAAAGTATTGAATGTGAATTTTTAATATACTTCAAATCTTCAAAGTATACATTAAAAAACTGTACTTGCAGATTATATAATATTAATGAAATAAAAGGCCACTTAAGTGTAGTTAAAAGAAATCACGCTTAAGTACACTAATAAAAAGTGCAGTTTGTAATATTGTCCAATTTTAATGCATTCTGTTTTAATAATATTTTGTTGTGCTTTAAAGAAATACACTTATTTTGAGGTTCTGACTAACATACTAAAGCACATATAACGAATTTTATTTTAGTTTACCATAAATGCATTCAGCTGTACACTTTAACCATATTACAAAGACAATACTACGGTAATTATGAAAATACTTAAAAAGATTGTACTTAGAGTTAGTCCTTAAGTGGGTCAAAAAGCATTCTGGGTTCAACTAATTTCATTTAATATAATTTTAAACTATAATCATTTTTCATTTAATGGCAATTAAAATACAACTGTTTGATTTATTTGTCTTTTTTGTAAATCAATGTAAATTTATTTACAATCTCTCCTCCATAGCGGCCATAATATAGCCATCAACTTACAGCAGGGGCAGCGTGTTTCTTGAATTTCCTGACACGTTTAAGTAGGCATGTAATGAGATGAAGCATAGAAACCTTTAATTGGCTCCCAGCAATGACTTGTCTGAGTGGATCATTAAACATTAATTACTCCTAACAAAACAATATGAATATTTTGCAAGGGTATATTAAAATGCTATTAAAGCATTCTTCATTCAACAAGGCAAAAAAGAAATACTTAACTAGGAAACCAATTTGTTGTTAAATGAGTCCAGGAAAATAAATGAATGTGTTAAATATCCATTTCGGCATCAAAATCTGGACAAAATCTGTCAGCGGACTGATTGTAAATGAAGCTCTGTTAATGGCAGCGCTGCTGGATGGATCTTTTGGCAAATGGCCATGTTGTCACACAAAGACTTTCCGCTGCCTATATAGAGGTGTTTTCACACAAACAGAAGCTCACCAGGGGTTCGGGCTGTGATTGATTGGCTTTTAGAGACTAACAGCTCACTGTGAGCCAGAATGGTGAGAGGAAGCAGCCAGACAAAATACTGGCTCCTTTGAAACTCAGAGATTTTCATAGATAGGCAGAGAGAGATGCAGAGGTGATAACGTGTGAAAAGAAGGTGGCATTGCAACACATGGAGAAAGTGAAACAACAGCTTGAGTAGTGGAAAAGTGAAAAACGTACCATGTGAAAAGTAGGGTTGGGTACCGAAACCCGGTATGTACTAGAACTGAATCCGAACGCAGATTTCGGTGCCATGCCTGAGCGATCGATTGAAATATTTGTCCTCTGGTTCTCCGAAATGGACGTAAGAAACATCGTAGCACCGCACGTGAAAAATTATTTCCCGACTGAGAAAATGCACGTGAACTCAAGTCGGAAAGCTCTAATAATACAAATCCAACACATCTTTGTAGTAACGCGAGTGTCCATGTTGTTTTCACATTCCG